ACGCAGGAGAAGCAGGACAGGATTCTGGTGAAGCGATTCGCCTTCATCGTCGGTACGGATTTCCTGTGTTGGATGCCGGTCATTATCATCAAGGTGGTGGCTCTGTCAGGTGAGCTGGGGTGAGCTGGGGGGAGGTGGGGTTGGGTGGGTGGGGGGTGTGTGGGGTTGTATGGGTGGGTGTGGGGTTGTATGGGTGGGTGGGTGGGTGGTGTAGGATGTGGGGTAGGTTTATAGGGTGTCGGTGTGTCTGTGTGGGTTTGTTTGCGTGTGTGTGTGTGTGGTCTGTAATGTTGTGATGTATGATAGGTGTGTGTGTGTGTTGTTTGTGTCCATGTCTCTGTATTTGAGTGTGTTGGCGTGTGTGTAGTGTGTATGTATATATATATATATAATATATATATATATATATTATATATATATATATATATATATATATATATATATACATACACACACACACACACACACACACACACACACACACACACACACACACATATATATATATATATATATATATATATATATATATATATATATATTATATATATATAAAATGTATATATATATATATATATATATATATATATATATATATGTATATATATATATATATATATATATATATATATATATATATTATATATATATATATATATATGCATATATGTGTGTGTGTGTTTGTGCATGTGCTTATGTTTGTGTGTGCGTTTGTTTTCCTGTGTGTCTGCCTATGCTTGTGAGTCTATACCAGTAGTTGAGAACAATATAAAGTGTTCTGTATTCTTATAATAAGATTGATAAATCTTGTAAAGTGACATATGTACGTCCTTGGGATTCAGTAAAAAAAAAAAAAAATAATAAAAAAAGAAATAAAAAAACTCAGTACCTGTGTCATTTATTTAGAGATAAATCTAAGCCGATTAATATCAGTCTTTGTCTTCAAGATTTTTTTTACATTTATCTTTTTTTAAAATTATTATGCTTTTTTTATCTAAGCATTGATTTCTTTCATTCAAACACACACGTAAACACACACACACACACACAATCCCCAAACACGCCCACATGTACGCGTTGTTGAAATGACCGTACCCACATCCGCCCCCACGTATCCAACCCCGCTTTAACGCACAATGAGCCCAAATGACAGTCATAAACGCTATATTTCAGGGGTTGGAATTGACAGAACGTTATACGCGTGGTTGGCTGTGTTCGTCCTTCCTGTTAACTCGGCTCTGAACCCTATTTTGTACACGCTGGCCACGAAGATCTTTAAACAGCAGGTAAATGTGAGTGTATGTACTGTAGCGTTCCTGTTTGCTTTTTTTTTTTTTATAGTTCTGTGTGTATGTGTGTTTTTTTTTTTTTTTTTTTTTTTTTTGGGGGGGGGTGTTTTTTTGGACTATTTTTGTTTTTTTATGGTATATTGTTGTTGTTGTTGTTGTCTGTGGTGGGATGGAGGAGATTCGTTTAATGTGTCTGTCTGTTTGTCTGTTTTCTTTTTTCTCTCCCTTCTCTCTCTTCTCCCTTCCCTTCTCTCTCTCTCTCTCTCTCTCTCTCTCTCTCTCTCTCTCTCTCTCTCTCTCTCTCTCTCTCTCTCTCTCTCTCTCTCTCTCTCTCTCTCTCTGTCTCTCTCTCTCTGTCTCTCTCTCTCCCTCCCTCCCTCCTCTCTCTCTCTCTTTCTCCCTTCCCCCTCCCCCCTCCCCCTCCTCCTTTCCCACCCAATTTCCCCCCTATCCATGTCCCTTTCTGACCTCCACTTTCTCCTCCTTCTTCTCCTCAGGTCGTCAAGATGGTCTTCAACATGAGTCGGTGGCCAGCGAGTCAGCCACGGACGGGCACGGACTCAAACCCTTCCAACTCGTACGTGATGCTGTACCGCGGCAGGTTCCAGACGGCGCAGGTGCGGCAGGGGCTTTTTTTTTTTTTTTTTTTTTTTTTTTTTTTTTTTTTTTTTTTTAGTATTTCTATTGTTATTATCATTTTTTTATTATTGTTTTTATCATTGTTGTTATTTTTATTGATTTTATCATTGTTGTTTTTTATTGATATTGTCATTGTTATTGGTATTTCTTTTGGATTTTAGTATTTCTATTGTTATTATCATTGTTTTTATTGTTTTTATCGTTGTTGTTATTTTTATTGTTTTTATCGTTGTTATTTCTATTGATTCTGTCATTGCTATTGGTATTTTTATTTTCATTTTAGTATTTCTGTTGTTATTATCATTGTTTTTATTGTTTTTATCATTGTTGTTATTTTTATTGATCTTATCATTGTTATTTTTATTGATATTGTCATTGATATTGTTATTTCTATTATTGTTATTATCATTGTTGATTTTGTTGTTTTTATCATTGTTGTTATTTTTATTGATTTTATCATTGTTGTTTTTTATTGATATTGTCATTGTTATTGGTATTTCTTTGGATTTTAGTATTTCTATTGTTATTATCATTGTTTTTATTGTTTTTATCGTTGTTGTTATTTTATTGTT